GTCGAACCCCAGCCGCCTTGGTGAAAAGTAAATGCGCTTTCCACTGCACCACTCTACAACCGAGCCTATTTCCAAATCAACTTATAATTTGTTTTCTCGTCATTACCGATATATTCTTCAAGGAAAGGTTGTCTTATATTTAAGATAGGGGTTTCTGCTATCGGTTTCAATTGTTGATTGGTGTTAAAAGATTTATCTCCACTATTTTTCACTTTCTATCCTTTTGTCAGTCATGCTTATAAAAAGCTGTAATAAGTGGATTTGTTTTTTCGTATTACAGGTCGCAATTCAAATGGTATTTTTGGCAGGCGATGAGTCCAAAAAGGATAACATATCTCTTCTAAAAAGAGTATGACAGAGAGTTGTTGAATATGGTAAAAAAAACTCTGTCGTTTGCTCTTACTGCGGCACACGTTTCCGAAATCATTGCAATCAAATAATTCAGTAAAACAAGGTACGTCATTATGACATACACCAGGTAGACGATATAGGCAATGACTGGTTCCCTAGCTTCATCTAAAACCTGTATATCTGCCAGACCAGACATCAACCTAATATTAGTCAGTATTGTTCGACTAAAACCATGAAGTAGCTCAGTTGTTTCCTTATCATCATACGCAATCGATACCCCACTGCCTTGAAACAAAACTTGGAAAGCGATACTAAATGAAACGAGAGACAGAAGGATAAACGACCCAAACCGAAGCAAGTCCCCAAAAATTACTTTTTGTATCATGGCTACGTAGACACTTATTGGTTCAAAAGCACGAAAAAAGAAAATGCAAAACCACCAGCCAGAGAGAACAGAAATGAGCAGAAAAGAGACACTATGTTCTAGGTAAATGTGATGCCATATGTTATCTATCAAAATGCCAATTGAAAACAAGCACAGCAAAACGATGTATTCAAGATCGTGTGTACAGTATTCAGAAGAATTTGGGCGTATGCATCGAGATATAATCAGTAAAACTGTTATGATCAATTACAGTGCACCGACTACAAAGCACAGGATGGAGCTGACAAACATGAAGGTTCTCTGGTAATCTGTAATAGCAGGGTTGGTTGAGTTTGAGGGGAAAGCTTCAACCGACCATACTACCGCATATGCACTATACCACACCATTAAACAAAAATGAATAAGTGCCAATATACGCACTGCCTTTCGACTCTCCTTCCATTTCAGTTTAATCAGCATCTTCACCGCAGGTTGTCTTATTATTTGATAGACAGAATCCTTGTTTCTGGCAACCTTTCTATTGCACACCATCTCCAATACACTCTGACTCCACTTGTACTTTTCGGTTGTGACTGCTTTGCCGACCTTGTCCTCCTTGTTTCCTGCTTCGATTGGCCCTACTTGATTTCGCTTTGCATTTTCGTTGTTCTCATGATTCTTTTTGTTAACTGTTTGAACTTTGAAGTGAGTCACGGTGTCGATTACACATATATCATAAAGGTCCGAGTCAAAAAGTCCTTCGTCATCATTTTTTATCTTCTCTAAATTCAGTATTATGTCGAAAAGATCAGCTACCCCAAGCTTAGCAGCCAACTGTAATGGTCGCAGGTGGTCATTGTTGGTTTCTCTCATCGTCTTTTTGTCAAGTGCTTTTACTATGAGGTCGGCCTTTTCGAGGTCGGCCATTTCGTTTGGATAACGGACAAGAAATTTCCACATTGCAATCACTTCCTGTATGTCGTTCGGATTTCTTGCAGCATGTTGCACCAGGCAATGGTAAACTGTGTTTCCGTTGCTGTTTTTCGCCTTGATATTCTGACTAGTCATCTCTATCACAATTTTGGCTATCTCTATGTCTAGTGTGAGTGCTGCCACAATGTGTGGCAATTCACCTTCCATGATAGTCTTCTCGAACAATTTACCTTCAACTTTAGGGTTGGATATGTTATTTCTTACAGTATCGCCCATTTCTAGTTTATCAGACAATATCAAATCTTTGATTCTTCTAAGCGTTTCTTTTTGTTTCCTGACAATGAGGATATGGATGGGTGTTTGGCCTTTATGGGTTTCAGATACTTTTCCACATGCCAGAAGATCAGGTGACAGTTTTACTATCTTCTCTATAATGTCGTTGTCATCGTCCTCGTCATCTAAATTTACTGCAGCGTGATGAAGAATCGTATTATTGTTCTCAGTATTTTCCCCTTCTTTTTTGGAATGGCAACGATAATTGCGCACATCTGATTTTAAATTCTTTTTGTCTTTGTAGTTGTCGAAAATATTAATGAACTCCTTACCCTTTTTGTTGGAAATAGCCTTTTGGAGTTCCTCCATTTCTGATAAAGACAAGTGACATATTCTCAGTCTGATGCTGAAAGAACATATACTATTTTATAAAAGTTGAATAAACAAAACGTTAGCTTGCAATAATGTTTCGTTTATAAGTTACAAGCGTGAAGTTGGTTACTTATTCAATATTCGACTAGCCAAATATTGAACTAGTTTGATATTCAAACTTTACTAATATAATAGGTAATATGGTGCTTTTTCACACCTATACCACTACAGGGCATCGTCTAAGGTATTCACATAAAAAAGGGCATTAACGATACCCCAGGCAAAAGATGCCCACTATACACTTTTTTCGAATTTCAGTCTAAGAAAATTTATTTTTCGTTTTGCTCAGCACATTGTCATAGGTCTTATGCCGCATTTTCATACCTATACTACCACAGGACATCGTCTTAGGTATCCACATGCAAAACGGCATCAACGACTAAATTCGACATTTTTTCGAATTTCAGTATAGAATCTTTGATTTTTTCGTTTTCAACATGCGAGGGCATATTGTTATAGGTTAAGGAGCGAAGGAATGAACATACGAAACGGAATTCTGAAACAAAATGTTAGGTATTTTACCTGAGGATGTTTCAGTAGTCTTCTGGGCCATTTTGACTGTGTTGATATTAGATCAATCTGCAAAACAGTACACGTTAATATTAAAAGTGATAATATCATTACACATAATTACTAAATTGTTACATGAGGTTTTCATATACTAACATTCGTTGAAAAATTATTTCAAATTGTTGTAACGAAAACAATCATCTGTTATAGAAAGAAGAACACTATCAAATTTAATATTCCATATAATACTCCACTTATTGTGTTCTGCAAACAATTTCTGCGAATTTAACAATAGTGAAACATTATAGGAAACAAATCCTGATTGTAACGACTGCCGTTACAAAACTACTCCCAAAACTACTCCTGCAGTCGTAATCAATGCTTACGGAAGCATACTGTTATATTTAGGGAGGTAAGGCAGCTAAGCAATTAGCTTAATTTATGCTCGTAATGTCATAAAAAGTTTTTTTTGATTTACTGTTATTGTCATTCAAATTTTGGAGCTTGAATTGCTGGGACAATGATTGGCTGCCGATGACAGCTTCAGGGTTTCTGAGGCTGGTCACTGATTGGCCAATGGGTCAGAGGTGACGCTATCTCCCTCTGGGACATATCCACGCATCAGGCAGCCACTGTACGCTCATCAAGGTCTCGGGATAATTATTTTTTTTAATCAGTTTTAATACATTTCCATGTCCGATACCGAGACGAATTGACGCCATACCATCCTCCGCTTGTTTTGGGCCAGTACAAAATAAACGCAGAATCCATGCCACACGTTATAGTGATTTTGAAACTACAAACATTGTATCATCACATGGACTGAACAATAACAAATGCTTAAGCACAAAATGTTGCAATACTAACATTTATAGAAATTCATTCTTTGTGAGGACAGTACACGATTGGAACCATCTGGATAATTCAACAGTTAGTGTTACTTCAGTAGAGGCTTTTAAAGCCTGTCTCTCGCGCGACTAATTACATGCGCTCTCCCCCGTTGACCTATGTCAGTAGTGGATCTTGTCAACGTATTTTGATACAGATACAGATACAGAAACTGTTTGGTATTACAGGATATCATTTTTTGTTTGTTTTTTAAGAGATATACAACACCCAAGTTCGTTTTCTCGTTTATTAACACTTAATTTTCATTTAAGGGTCAGTGTTCATGATGATTCTCGCATTTGTATGGTATTATTTCTCTCAGAACTCATATGTATATGACCAGTAACTATTTATGTAATTAAAAGCAACTTTTTGTGATTTGGTACACAATTGGAATATGTTATTGTTTTTAACATATTAAGGGTTCCCTCAGGAATAGGGCATATGACCAGTAAGTCTTTTTATAAAAGTACAAAATTGGTTTTGTGTACACATTAGATTACGTGATAGTTTTCACATAATTTTTATTCCCTTGGTAGGAGGGCATGACCAGTTAACTTTTTATGATAATTAAAAGCAAAGTTTTCTATGTTTTGATCACAATTGGAAAATGTGATGGTTTTCACATAATGTTGGTTCCTTTGGTAGGAGGTCATGACGAGTAAATCTTTTATGGTAATTAAAAGCAGATTTTCTGTGTTTTAAATACAATTGGAATACGTGATGGTTTTCCACATATTTTTGGTTCCCTTGGTAATAGGGCATGACTAGTAAGTCTTTTATGGTAATTAAAAGCATAAAATTCTGTGTTTTTGAACACAATTTTATCATGTGATGGGTTTCCACATATTTTTGGTTCCCTTGGTAAGAGAGCATGACAAATAAGTCTTTCATGTTTTTGAACATAATTAGAATATGTGATATTTTTGGTTCCCTCTGGAGAAGGGCGTATGACCAATTATTCTTTTTATAAAAGTAAAAATTGGTTTTAGTGTACACATTGGATTATGTATTATCACATAATTTTGGTTCCCTTGGTTAGAGGACATGACCAGTAAATCTTTTATGGTATTTAAAATCAAATTGTTCTGTTTTGAACACACTTGGAATATTTTGATGATGTTCCACATATTTGTGCTTCCCTCATGATGATGAAGGGGTTTGCCAAGAAAAATAATTTGGTGTGGTACATTAATTGACATTGGAATATGTGATGGTTTTCCACAGTTGATATATAGGTACATGCATACATGTATGGTAACAGTCATATTCTGTTATCACATCATTTACAACAACTGAATTGTGAGTATTTTAAACGGTAAAGTACATTGTACTGGTGCGATTGGAAGCCTTGCACTATTTTATGTTTTCTGGTGTCGTTTTGGTTAAAGGTGCCTGTATTATGGCCATATGACAATAATTATGGATTGGATTTATTTGATACACTGTATATATAGTTGGTCTCAAAGTTGAAGATCACCTATTTTATCATTTAACATATTGATAGCTTACTAATTGAATTGTAGAGTATTTATATACTGTAGGTACCTATGATTCTATCTGGGGCGGACATATAAAGTCAGTTGCTTTTGGTTGCTTTTTGGTTCATGCCAGCGTCAACATGCAGATCAAAAAGCTTGTTAGGTCACGTCGAGCAAGAGTGCAATATATACAATTATATATAACTCATGAGATAGTGGCATGGTATGGTGATCAATTATTTAACTCAAATTGAAAAACTTCATGTAGTTATGGACAAGTCCACATCAATATCATTGGTAATGCAAGTTTATATAACTCTTTTTATGGGTTCATAGAAAAGATTTCATGCCAGACCAATGTTTAAGATCCTTGTATGTTGTTACTTTTGAAGAAACTTAATATGCTTTGCAGGACACCATGCCTAGGACCACTAATAATATCTTCATGTTTTATTACCTGTTTATTTAGATAAAATCTAATATAAATTCTGAGTGAAAAAAAGTCTGTCATATAAAATGTTATACAGGCATGTTACTTTTACGATTATTTCCGGAAGTATGAAAAATAACCGGAAAATCCTGAAACTGATGTCCGTTGCAATTATCTCTTTGTCGGTGCTTCAATACTTTTTTTTTCATTTTTTGCCACAGGCACAAAAAGTGAAAGTGCGAATATTTTCTGAAGATCCTTTTTGTTATCAACCCAGTTCTGCTAATATTTCTACTGGGAGATATCTTCAATCAGCTTTTGATTTCCATGAGTGTTGAGAATATGAACGAAATAATTAACATTTTTGAAAGTCTGGTTATAGCCTTTACATTATTTATTTATGCATCACCACATAAAAAAACCCAACGGAAAATGCATTTCTGTCGAAATCAACAATAATTTTCCAGACAACCAACCCAAGTGCAACGCCCTTGTTCAGCAACGTATTACTTTTTCCACAACGCGTGCCGATTTATAACTAGTTACAGACAAAAACTGTTTAATTTTATTTGGCATCACTATACCTGTCAAACCTCGGTGACAGTTACAAAATTTGAAATTCAATCCAGTGATTCCGGATGAAACAGTAGTTGAGACTACATATATCAAGATATAACGACATTCTCAGTTACATCAAAGTATAACAATATTTTCTTTTTTTTTAAATTTAATTTTTGCAACTAGCATCTCTATACATTAACTTAGACTAGTCGTCAAATATGTAACATGCACTTTTTTTCTATAGCAATTACCCAACAGGTTTTCCCCAGCTTATCTCAATCATTCTTTTTTTGTCCTTACGGAAGCACGCAAAGGATTTATTTCTTAATATGGAAGGAAGCTGGAGTATCTGGAGAAACCCCGCGTGGTCGGGCAGGTGACCGGTTCTTCAATATCTGTTAGTAGTTGTGGGCAAGCATTTTCTTTACATTCATTGGGGTTTCGAAATTCATAACCTGATCTGTGGTCTCAATCTTGGTTTCCCATTGTGGTTCGAACCCACATTGCATGCAGAGCAACCGGCTGAGACTATCAGCATTCTGATGTTTGACTCCAGGTCGATGGACGATGGTCATGTCATATAAGCTCAGCACTTGTAGCCACCTAGCCATCTGTCCTTCGGGATTTTTGAAGTTCAGCAGCCAACGGAGCGAATTATGGTCTGTACGTACTGTGGACCTTCTACCATACAAGTAATGGCGCAGGTACTTGGTGAAGTATACAACTGCCAATAGTTCCTTTCTGGTCACGCAATACCCTCGCTCTGCTTTAGTTCAACATCATCCACTATCTGAGACAACACTGCACCGATAGCGCCATTGCTCGCATCGGTATCTAGTAGCGTTAAGTCGTCTGTAATCTACGCAAAACGGCATTGTCCCATCCTTTTTCTTGACCAAAACAATGCCTGAGCTCCAAGGACTAGAGGATTTCTTGATAATACCTCGGTCGAGCATGTTCTGCACTACTTTGTCAACTTCTTGTCCCATATTGCCTGGGATACGTCGTAAATGCTGTTTTATCGGACGAGCACCTCCTGTATTGATCTTATGTTTCACGACATCTGTTCGCCCCAAGTCTGATGCAGCAAACACACCTTCATACTTTTGCACAAGATGTCTCAGTTCCTCGTATTGTTGGCCGGTGAGGTTTGTTTTTGATGCTGCTAGTAGTTTAGCTAGGTCTTCTCTTAAGCTGTTATTTATGTGAGGCTGTGTTCCTTCTATTTCCTCTACTACACTCTGAATTGCACTAACTTGTGATATGGTAGTGCCAGGATAGATCAACTTAACTTCCTCTGAGGTATTCATTATGCGTACAGGCACTGTAGTTGTAATGTCCGCCAGTGAACGACCAATGATAGTACGGTCGCTCTTCAAAAAGGATTATAATCCTTCCACTAGTAAGGCGTTCCCCTGCATGGCCCTACCATCAGGCACACATACCTTCCCAGGGACCATGACCTCTGATTTTGCTGGTACTAAAATCTTCTCAGTTGTACACACTCGGAAAACAACCCATAGTTCTCTCATATTTAGCCTCAACATGCACTCCATCCAAGGTAAGACAACCCTTAGCCAAATCCAGAGTTAAGTTTCTCTCTATAATAATAATAACAATAATAATATACAACATTTATATAGCGCCCTATATCATTTGTAAAATTACTCGTTCATAAAGCGCTTTACAACATATGGATAATCGTAATTGGTTTAATTGTGAAAACAAAAAACAAAGGTCTACAATCCCTTTTATATATTTAAGCAAGCAATGTGCACATAATTGAAGAAATAAAAGGGTGGTATTTACATGACGTCTTTGCAAGGATTCTAAAATGCAGTCGTGAAGAGGTGAGTTTTGATGTCCCTCTTGAACTTGGCCAGGGTATTTGACTTTTTAAAAGCAGATGGTAAGCTATTCCACAACGTAGCCGAAATCCTCCCGAAGAATCTGTTTCCGTAGGTCACAGTACGAGATTTTGGGACACACATCAAAGATTCTGACTCCGACCGCAGTGATCGTGACGACTGATACAGGGTAACAAGCTCCCGTATGTACTGAGGGGCTGTTCCATTCAGTGCCTTGCCTTCTATCATAACATCAAGACCTAGAATGCCATCTGTGGTGAGTTTCGCAACAACCGCTTTTACCAGTATGTTTGTGTCGTCCTCGAGTCTGATGTTAAACCTCCCTTGTCCGAGGATTGGTAATTTGTCTCCACTTGCTGTCAAGAGTTCTTTACTTATCTGCTTTAACTCGGGTCTAGCCGCCTGAGAAATGGGTTATACAGATCTTCAGATATCAAAGTTACAATTTATGTATCGACCAACAACTATGCCTTGGCACCATATATGTCAGTCTTAACATACATGCCAGCTTCATGAACAGCTGATGAGACTCCTATATTAGCCTTATGTTCAGTTTGTTTCCGTCTTCTCCGAGTTCTAACTCGCTTCGCCACTGGCGTATCTGCTCCATTGTCAGTGGTTGCCTGATTTTTCAATTTCAGGCAATTCCTGCAAAGTTGACCCTTCAAATTGCAATAGTTTTTCGACTAGCCTTGTCTTTGTTTGGTCTTTGCTGACTTGAACTCTTAGTGCTTCCTTTAAGCTTCAATACATCATCTCATAAGGACTGTAGTTGCTGTTGTATGTCTATTAATATACTAGACATATCAGAGTTCTGATTAGCTTTCTCTGTAGTCACACTTGCTTTCTCTGTAGTAGGACTGTCCTCTGTGTTTGTGGCTCTCAGATGAGCTTTACCATCACTCCATTTCTTTTCAGCTCGATTGTAGGCCTCCAGTCCCACAGCTAACCGTATAGTGTCTGTAAGATTTTGAGGTCTTCCTTGTTTTATCCCGATTCTCATGTCTGAATCAGATAGAGCCTCAATGAAATGCTGATTAGCCAAGGTATCACGCACATCACTGGGGACTGTCGGGTATGCCAGGTTTACTAGCAATATAATGGCTTCTTGTCCCAACTTTGGCAGACTTTCTGCTGCTTTCTGTCGCCTCTCTAAGAGTTGAACCTGGTATAACTCTGTTTGGTTAGGAGAAGAAAAACGTTCTCCTTACGCGCTGACCAGGGACTTATAATCTTCTTGCTTTTATATGGCCAGGTCCCCAAGGATGCCTTGTGCTTGACCTCTGAGTGCAATGTCACCAATATAGTCAGGGAGCTGCTCTGTTCTTAAACGAGCTCTCTCTCTCTGGGGTGGTCAAGTTTCCTGTCAGTATATGGCCTTGTAGTTGGAGACGGTTTTAGAATACCTTCACTCTTTGTCTGCAACCTAGACAACTCAGTCCTCATTCGTCTGATTTCAACCTCAACCTTATCAACATCCATATCTGAGGATAGCCTGGGAACATCTATGTGCTGTGTATCTTCCCCTCTAGTTCTATCACTAGATGCAATACCAGAGTTCCTAGGTCTACGAGGTGTAGATTTAGAAGAACTGAAATGCCTTTTTATCACTGGTGTTATAGGGTTTGCATGACTATGTTATGACACGTCCCTTCTCTGGCTAACAGTTTCCTCGTCATCCTCTAATGGGCTGAGACCATCATCCTCTTAATAGCTAGCCATCTTCACAAACCAATACAAATAACTATAATTTATGTGTATAAAAACAGTAAAGGTTTATTCTAATTCACACAAATTATAATGCAGAAACCTAACCACATGGATCCCACACGCTGCCACCAAAATTATGTAACGTTCCGGGGTCCGTACTCTAATCACTTCTAAGGATCCCTGTGATGTAGGCTTAATCATAACTATACTACAGTTGCAAATATAAACAAATATGTGTTACTACCTTGTAACCAGCATACCTAATGCTTAATACATGATATGAACAGAATAATTACTGCACGACTATAAAAATATAACCAAAGCTATCTGCTCTGTTTCAATATAACAACACACTACACACAATACCGTACAATATAGGCAGTACAAAACTCAACCACCACGTCGCGGCTTGCCCCAGTCACTATAGTTGCCCTATAGTCAGCTATCTACATGACCCAGTCGCTCCGAGCACGACAGCCCTATACGTACTAATATACAACTACGGCACTCTAATAACCACGACTACCCCTAGTCACGACTAGCTCTATCAACTATACCTAGTCACGACTACCCTAGTCACGACTAGCCTGGTCGCGACAACCCTAGTCACGACGTACGCGACTAGCACTGCATAGCCTATGCATCGTGACACCTTCTGTCTAACAGTATCTCGCTACAGCACTCAATCGTTTATTAAATATATCTTCCAGGCAGCGTGTCGAACAAGGCAAGACTTATTCAGTCTCTCCTATCTTTCCAACACAAAGCCGGTCTCATATGAATTACTTACGATCTATCGCTGGTTGTTGCTGGATTCTGCCTATTTATACTCTCTTGCTATCTGAGTGACACCTAGCGGTGAGTAAGGTATACTCACCGGTATGTTTTAATTGTACCTCTAAACTATCTGTCTTCCAAGCGTTTGAATAACGGAGACATAACACAAATGATTAACGCCAACAGAGCAACGTATCTAACCTGAATAATATGCTAAAACAGCGAAGGTAGGATTACGATATGTACATTCATCACACAGGTCCGGCCAATGATACCATGGCAAGTTCGGCCCCTGTAACACATACAAAGTCGTAAAATTAGCGGTAAATTATGACGTTATATGCTTTATGACGTCATAATTAAGCTGATTCCAGTGGGGTAATTTACCCGAATGCCTGTCCGAACTAACCCCATGGCGGGGCTCGCTCGGCCATCCGATCTTCCGACAAGAAAAGTTAAAAAATGTTCATAAACGGACGTGCTGCCATACTTCGAAGAACGGACTTTAATAAAAAAAAAAAAAAAAAAGGCCGAAACTTGCCCCGGTCTCCCCTATTGTTATGTCGGTCTTAATCTCATTAGAGTTTGTGTTTTATTGTTATATTCCTCGACTTGCCGACTTTAAAAAATGTTTATCTTATCTCATTCTGAAAGCAGTATTCTGACTCAATAAATATTGAAGTCCATATATCAGAGATCAACAAACGCTACGCTCTTTAAAGGCTTTGCCTTCTCATATTATGGTTAAATGACAATAATAACACAGTGCTACTATTCTCAATACCATTGTTTAATACTGTATTATCTTGTCAACCTACTCGAATTTCTATTTATCTGTTATTTCACGTACCTGTAATGTTTAGGTTATAGTGTTTAAAATGTATAATCCATGTGCACTACATGTCAACACGTGTCTAGCACCATATTGTTAATTCCCTGTCATTTAAGTTTTGTACCAGGTTCGTTTGATGCACTTTGGCATATTTTTAACCTGAGGACGTCCGTCTAGGAACATATTGTTAGCTATCGCCCATACCATCAAATAATAAGCGTACCATAATCATGTTCGCTCAAGTGCTTGTGTTTAATTGCACAAATACTTGGCTATACAAGCGTTTTGTAAATATGATTACTTTCTCATAGCGGTTGATTCCACGAGGCATGTAACTTGTAAGTGTGAATTATGCCTCTTATGTATTTGTGTTTTCGTTTGTTTGTTGTGTATGTTAATATTGATGCTATTGTATGTTTAAGCAACGATCTTTACATTGCAAGTCCCTGCCCATGTTCATGCTATGCTGTTAGTTGTATTGCCAAAACCTTGTTAAGCGTGAATGTCCTACTACACTGACTGTTTACGATAATTGTTAAAATTCCTTTTTCATATGTTGTGAATGGGACATCCATCTTACGAGGACATATGACTTGGCCATGCAGTATTTCTATTCAATTTGTATACCTTTATTCTAAAATATTCAACAATAACTCATATCTACAAATACTTCTGCAAACCCTACTGATTAAATGTATGGATGCCAGGTCCACCCCAGGATGTAGAAATAGTTGATCTTAATGTTAGATCCCTAGGAAATAAAAAAGATGTTATTGAAGCACAACTACATGATAGTGACAAAGTATGTATAAATGAATCGCACCTTAACCCTCTAATCCCAAATTCTGATATTAAATTAGAGTCATTCTCAGATGAAATCCATAGGAAAGATAGGACAACAGGACATGGTGGTGGTGTTATTATCTATTATAAAAATGATATTCCTACCAAACGTAGACATGATCTTGAAAATGAACATATAGAAATGATTTGGATAGAAGTTTTAATTCAAAACCATACATTTCTGCTTGGATGTATCTAGAGACCGGATTCTAATATAGAATACTGGAGTAAATTTGAACAAATCCTTGATAAAGCTAGTGAAACTTCCATGGATATACTA